AAAAAGAATAAGTCTTTTCAGATTAAAAAAGGAAATATCGAAAAAAGAAAAAGAAACTTCGAATTAAAAATATTAAAAGTCTTTTTTAACTCACGCGCATGCGGGGCCACGGCGATGCAGTCCACGGGTTTGTTGACTCCTTTAACGAAGTCCACGAAAAGTTCATTTTCGCGAAAACTCGGCGTTTGCTGCAGAAGTTTTGGACATTTAAAATGGTTTTATTCAATTAAAAATAAAAATAAATCAATTAAACAAATGCGCAAAGAGAAAAAAGAGAAAAGTCCAAAATCCCGCGGTCGCGCGCCGGGTGTATGTACAGCTGCTGCGCGAAGTTGCAACTTTTCCACTTTTGCAACTTTTGCAAAAAGTGGCCATTTCGTGCATCAAACTAAGCAAATTGAAGTTGTTTTGGACGAAAAATGAATTTAAAATGGAAATGGAAGTGAAATTCGCCTTCAAACGGAGTTTGAAGCGGCCAACCTGGAGTCAATTTCAGGTGTCTGTACACCTGAAAGTCCATTTCAGGTGTACAGACACCTCGACGCACCTGGGGCTCCGAGGAGTGTTTCTGCGACTCCGGGGGATGCGCATTTGATTTGAAGTTTTGTTTTTGTTTTTTGTGTTTTAGTTTCTTCATTTGGCGTTCAACTTCGCCATTTGTGGCCTGTAAACCCTCCAGTTCCTCCCGGTTTGCGGCGCGCTGGCTGCTGCTGCAGCGCTGCAGCAGCAGCAGCCCGAGCAGCAGCAGCAGCAGCGAAACTGCGACGCTGAGAAGCACCTGAGTTTCCATTTTTTCAAAAAGGAAAATTTAAATCCTCCATTCCTTTGCCCCTTCTTTGCGGCCAAAAGGCCGGAGGCGCGGCGCTGCAGATCTCGCGGACTTGTGTTTTTTTTCGTTTGGAATTTCGAATTCAACTTTTCAACTTTGAACTTTGAAAAGCTGCCAAGTCCAAAAGCCTCGCCGACTTCCGCATGCAGCGGCCCCGCGGCGGCTTCTCGAGGCTTACAGTCAAAAAAGAAAACAAAAAGAAAACAAAAAGAAAAAGAAATTCAAAAAAGTGGAAAAAAGAAGAAATTCAACTTCGACTTTGCGCAGCAGCTGTACATACACCCCGCGTCCGGTGCCGCCGTCCCGTCGGCAGCGGCCGTTTTCAGCGTTTTTCTTTTTTCTTTTTTGCTTTTTTTGTTTTTTATTAATTTAGTTTTTTTTTTATTTAAATTTAATCAAATTTAATTTAATTTAAATAAAAACAAATTCAAAATCCGAATTCGTGAACCGTCAATGTCCAGACACCGTCGCCAAACGCTGCCGACACAAAGACAGCCCCGGACTTCTCTAGGAGGTGAAGTGACAGCAAATAAAAAGTAAATTAAAATAAATAAATAAATAAATAAATAAATAAATAAATAAATGATGAATTAATAAATAAATAAAACGAAAAATGGATGGTAAAGAAACGAAGAAGCAAAGAAACAACAACTTCAGTAATAGATCCATCACTAAAGAAATTATTTAACAATTCCTTGCTAATGAATGTTTAGTTCAATATATAACTTATTTATATGTATACATATATACATATATAAGTATATATATATGTAAATATATACATATATATACATATATATATTCATATATATATGAGAAGAAGAGAAAAGACCAGTGGGTAAAGAAATAAATAAACACTTAAATTAAAAGACTGATACGCAAATTAATAAATAAATAATGTAATAATTTATTTTTAAATAAAAAAAGCAAAATTAAAAATGGTAAATTTGCTGATCTGCAAAAGAATTAATAAAAGGAACGGAGAGGTGGACATACCCCTGAGCGCAGTTGTTTATATTTTGTTTCTACTTATATTTATATTTACACTTACATTTGTATTTATATTTATATTTATATTTATATTTATATTTATATTTATATTTATATTTATATTTATATTTATATTTACTTGTATACTTATATTTATAAATTGTATTTATATCTACATTTTTATTTTTAATTGTATTTGGAGCCCAAGAGAAAAGCCTTTTGCTGCTGCATGCAGCAGCATGCAAAACTTTTAAAGATATGATTTAACAATTCCTTGCTAATGAATGTTTACTTCATTATATAACTTATATATATATATATATATGTATGCACATATAAGCATATATATATATATATATATGTATATATATATATATATGCGTATATATATATATATATTTGTACGTTTATATATATATAGATGTATAAATATATATATATATATATATGGGTATATATATACAAACATATGTATATATATATATATATATATATATACATAAAGTTAATATAAGCTTGTACATAGAGATAATATATATAATACTACATTAACTTTACATTTATTTGATATTTATTTATTTTTAATTTGAGAAAGTAGTTACACAAAAAGGCAAATACGCGCAAAGACGGGGTGTATGTACGCCCCGCGTTTTGCCCAGCGGGGTGTACATACACCTCAAAACGCATGCAAAGTTTATTTAAAAACAAAAAAGCATTTTTTCAAAAAGTTAATTTCGCATTTTTTGATAGAATGCCTTTTCTTCAATTGGATGAGAATTGTCTTAATGCTTCTTTGTTGGGTTTAAAGTCTTCTTTCGCTGCAGCAAGCGGCAACGCTGCAGCTAGCTGGAGCTAGCTGCGGCTAGCCGGAGCTAGCTGCGGCTAGCTGGAGCTAGCTGCGGCTAGCTGGAGCTAGCTACGGCTAGCTGCGTGTAGCTCCAGCTAGCTGCAGCTAGCTGAGGCTAGCTATGGCTAGCAGGAACTACTTCTGGCTGGCTAGCTGGGGGATGCTTTTGGCTAGCTGCAGCTAGCTGTGGCTAGCTGCAGCGAACTGTGGCCATCTGAGGCAGCTCATCCTGGCTAGCTGGGGCAAGCCGGGGCAGCCGCAGCTAGCCAGGCCTGGCTAGCTAGCGAGAAGCAGCAGCAGCTAGCTAGCCAGGCCTGGCTAGCTAGCGAGAAGCAGCAGCAGCTAGCTAGCCACGCCTGCCAAGCTAGCAACAAACAGTCAAACAGCTAGCTAGCTAGCTAGATAATTAGCTAACTCTTTGCTCGCGAATCTAGTTAGCTAGTCAGCTAGGTAGCTAGCTAGCTAGCTAGCTAGCTAGCTGTGGGGCTACTGAGATGGCTAGGCCAGCTCGGAGGCTGCCACTGGCTGCCATTAAAAAGTGCAAATAAATAAATAAATAAAAAGCAAAGCAAGCTATATATAAATCTATATATAAATTTATATATTTATATATTTACATATTTATATTCATATATTTGTGTAAACAGATGAAGTTTAATCAACTAGTTATCTAACGGTCAATTGGCTTCTTACTCATCTAGCTAGCTAGCTAGCTAGCAAGCTAGAGGCGGGGACGAATAACTAGCTAGCTAGATGGCTAGCTAGCTAGCTGGCTGGCTAGTCAGCGAGTTAACTGGCTAGCTAGCTAACCAGCTAGCTAGCTAGCTGGCTAGCCTCTCTTAGGGCTGGCTAGCTAAATGCGTGCACACACAATTGATTGTTATCTGTGCATACTATTTGCGCTAATATTCGCCTAGTTTAGGGTTTAGGGTTTAGGGTTTAGGGTTTAGGGTTTGGGGTGTATGTACAGCCTCTGTATCAGCGCAAACAAGCGCTGCAGGGGAGAAGAGCAAAAAAAATGAATTTCTTTTTTAATTGAAATAAAATAAATTGAATTAATTTAAAATTAAAAAAAAATAAAATAATTAAATCAAATGTCAAAAAGAACAATTCTGAAGTTGCAAATTTGCTTCAAGCCCCACTGGCTGCAGCCGACGGCGCATGCAGCAGCAGCAGCAGCAGCAGCAGCAGCAGCTGCTGCTGCTGCTGCCAGCTTTCTGCGCTTTCGAGTTCATTTGAAAGATTTAAATATAATTAAATTAAATTATTTATTTAATTTGTTTTGCAAAATCAGAAAAAATAATTAAAAGACATTATTAACCTCCAGACAAGGGCCCCCAGGGGCCTTCCAGGCCCCATGGCAGCAGCAGCAGCAGCAGCAGCAGCAGCAGCGCGAGTTGCAGCAGCAGCTGCAGCAGCGGCTGCAGCAGCAGCTGCTGCTCCGTCCTTTTCGCTGCCACTGCTGGGGGCTTCCTGTGGGGCCCCCCGGGGGCCCCTGTGGGCTGCTGGGGGGCCCCTGGGAGCCCCCGGGGGCCCCCGGGGGGCCCCTGGGGGCCCCCAGGGGGCCCCCTGGGGGCCCCCGGGGGCCCCCTGGGGGCCCCTAATGGGTTTAAATTTGTTTGCCAATAGAAGCTGGCAAACAAATAAGAGGCGGCGGCTTTATCGCACAAAGCGAAAGAGATATATTAGGAAGGGGGAGACTCTCTATAGAGTCAGCTGAAGCAGCAGCAGCAGCAGCAGCAGCAGCAGCAGCAGCAGAAGCAGCAGCAGCAGATGCAGCAGCAGTGCAGGGTTTGCATCTTTTGCTTCTTTTTTAAGGCTTTCAAGTTCTTCCTGTTAAGGAAAGGCTCACAAAAAGCAGAGGCCGACAACTCCGCCAGCCAGCTGTCCAGCTAGCCAGCTAGCTGGCTAGCTAGCTGGCTAGCTGGCTAGCTAGCCAACTAACTGGCTAGCTAGCCAGCTGGCCAGCTTGGCAGCAGGTGCCTGCCTATCAACAGGTTTGACGGCTGGCAGTGCTAGCCAGCTAGCTAGCCAGCTAGCTAGCTAAGCAGCTAGCTAGACAGCTAGCTAACCAGCTAGCTAGCCAGCTAGCTAGCTAGCTGGCTAGCTAATCAGCTAACTAGCTAATCAGCTAGCTAGCCAGATAGCTAGCTAGCTAGCTAGCTAGCTGGCTAGCTAGCTAGCTAGCCATTCCTTTTTGGCGCAGGAAAAGACGAAGCCCCCCGTGTCCGCCGTCGAAAGAACCCGCGTCGCAGCCCGGCCCGCCAGCCGAAACCCTAAACCCTAAACCCTAAACCCTAAACCCTAAACCCTAATTTGGGTGAAGGGAGAAAGCTAGTGGAAGGGGGAGGGCCAGCGGCGGGCGAGTTGGCCCTTGTTGGTGGGGAAGGAGGGCAGGGCGTCTGCGGGGTGTACGTACACCTGGGACTTGAGTTGAATTTCTTTTTCGCTTTTTATTTTTCTTCTGGAAAGTCTGTCGAGAAAAGAAAGTCTTTTTCTTTTGAAGAGAGGATCTAGGAAGCGGTGGCTAGCTGCCAGGTAGCTAGCTAGCTGCGGGGCTTGCTGCAGCGCCTGCTGCAGCTGCTGCTGCGCCTGCTGCTGCTGCTGCTGCTGCTGCTGCGCCTCCGCCCGCCCCAGCGGCCCCCGCAGCAGCACGCGGTGTACGTACACCCCGCGGCCCTGCAGCAGCCCCAGCGCCACGGGGCCCCTCGGAGGCGCAGCAGCTCTTTTGCTGCTGCGCCCCGCAGCAGCAGCTGCTGCTGGACCTGCTGCTGCTGCTGCTGCTGCTGCTGCTGCTTCTGGGGGGGCTGCAGCAGCTGCTGCTGCAGCTTCAGCAGCGCGACACAGCAGCCGCGACCGAGCCACGGCTCTGTCGTCCCCGGCTGCCTCCTCTGCTGCTGCTGCTGCTGCTGCTGCTGCTGCTGCTGCTGCTGCTGCACTGGGAGGTCCCGCTGCAGCAAAGAACTCAGCAGCACAAATAAAACAAATTTTGCTTTTATTTCAAACTCCAATTTAATTCTTAATTCTTTAAAAGGGCCCACAACTTGATCGTAATAAACAAAATAAATAATAAATAATAAATAATAAATAATAAATAATAAATAATAAATAATCAACAAATAAGAAGTAAATAATAAATAAATAAATAATAAATGGTAAATAATAAATAATAAATGATAATTAGTAAATAAATAAATATTAAATAATAAATAAATAAATTAATAAATAGCAATAAATGGAATTCGCAACAGAAAAAAAACTAAATAATAAAACACACAAATAGCAAAGACGTGCAGCAAATGAACAGCAAATAAATAAATAAATAAATAAATAAATAAATAAATAAATAATATAAATTTAAATAAATAAATAAATAAATAACTAATATGAATTTAAATAAATAAATAAATAAATAACTAATATGAATTTAAATAAATAAATAAAATAGATTTAAATAATAATTAATTAATTAATTAATTAATTAAAAATTACCCCCAAAAGACTTACGGAAGGTGGGGGCCTTATAGCTGCAAGGAGCAGCAGGCAGCAGCAGGGTGAAGCCCTTTTGCTGCTTTTTGATTCAGAAAAGCCTTCAACTCCGCCGTCGATCTGACAACAAACACGCCAAATTAGGGTTTAGGGTTTAGGGTTTAGGGTTTAGGGTTTGGCGTTTGGAGCGCACGCAGCGCCGCTCTCTGCGACCCAGTGAGCGTTGAGGGTTTAGGTTCTAGAGGTCGTAGGGTTTAGGGTTTAGGGTTTAGCGGCCCTAGGGTTTAGGGTTTAGGGTTTAGGGTTTACTGGCATTCGGTGGCCTCTCTGAGGTTTTGTTCAAACTCCTCCACCTTCCCCTCCATGTTGGCAGACCTCTCCAGCAAAGCGAGAACTGCTCACAAACCCTAAACCCTAAACCCTAAACCCTAAACCCTAAACCCTAAGAGCTGGCTGCCGGGCTGCGTGGCATAAACCCTAATGCAGAGCTCTCTTGTCTGCTTCTTCGCCTTAGCCCTAGCCCTCGTTCCCCGCAAACCCTAAACTCTAAACCCTAAACCCTATACCCCAAACCCTAAACCCTAAACCCTAAACCCTAAACCCTCACGCGCTTCGGGCTGCATCTTGTCTGTCCACCGCCAGGGCCTTTGCTGCGGCACCACGCCGCTAAGAGGATCATCAAAGAAGAGGGAGTTGTAGAGCCTGCAGCACAAACCCTAAACCCTAAACCCTAAACCCTAAACCCTAAACCCTACATCCTTGGCCCTTCAGCCGAGTCTAGCAGGCTAGTATCCCAGAGGGTATTCCCTCAAGGGTTTAGGGTTTAGGGTTTGCGGTCCAGGCGTTTAGACGCGCACAGCGCGAGCCGCTGCCCAGCGCCAGGGTTTAGGGTTTAGGGTTTAGGGTTTAGGGTTTACGCGTGCAGGTCTTGCAAAGTAGGGTTTTCGGCGAGCAGTTCTGCGTCGAGCTGCTGCAGCAGCTCGACGCAGAGCTGCTAGGGTTTAGGGTTTAGGGTTTAGGGTTTACGCATGCAGGTCTTGCAAAGTAGGGTTTTCGGCGAGCAGTTCTGCGTCGAGCTGCTGCAGCAGCTTTTTAATTTGCTGCTGCTTCTGAGTCAGCAGCAGCAGCAAACGAGAAAGGGCCAGCAGCGCAGGGTGCGTCTGCTTCGGGGCGTACCGCAGCGCCTTCAAACACCCAAACCCTAAACCCTAAACCCTAAACCCTAAACCCTAAACCCTAAACCCTAAACCCTAGACCCCAGACCCTAAACCCCAGGGCCTTGTGTTCGGCTCGCTGCTGCCTCGTCCGCGGCGGGGAGCCCCGAGTTGCAAAGCCCAAACCCTAAGCCCCAAGCCCCAAACCCTAAACCCTAAACCCTAAACCCTAAACCCTACCTGCATCTCGAAGTACTGCTGCACGGAGAAGCTGGGGAGGTCGAACTTGCTGGGCCAGTAATACTCCTTCATTTCTTTTCCTTTTAAGGGTTTCAGCCACGCAGATTCTCCAGGAAGTCCTTTTGCAAATCCGAAGAGTTGCTGCTGCAGCGCGCGGGCGCGGCTGCTGAGGTGTACGTACACCTGAGCTGCTGCGCCCAGCGTCCGCAGCCGCGGCGGGCCGCCCGCGGCCAGCGGCCGCAGCCCCGGAGGCGCCATTTGAGGCTTGTTTGCGAATTAATTGCCAATTAAATCATTTAATTTCATTTTTAATTCAAAATTAAACTCCATTTCGCCGATTTCGCCGCCAGATCGCCTCGCGCCGCTCGCAGCTGTCTGTACACCCGACGCATGCGCGCAGCGCTTCGACCAAGCCGCTCGAAAACGGAATGAAAACACTTTATTTATTCTTTTTATTTCTTCTATTTGATTTTATTTACAAAAAAAACAAAATTTTAACGAAAATGACCCACCAACTCTAACAAACACTTCCCTGCATGCTGCCGCCGTTGGCTGCAGCTGCTGCTGCTGCTGCTGCATGCTGCTGCTGCTGCTGCTGCTGCTGCTGCTGTCTTCTGCTGCTGTTGCTGCTGGTCCTCTGTCTAGCCGGTGTTGCTGTCTTTATCTCTAGTGCTGCAGTACTCTCTGCTCTTGCAGGCCCAAACCCTAAACCCTAAACCCTAAACCCTAAACCCTAAACCCTAGTTTCCGTGCCTTTACGAGGTGTATCGACACCTCAATACCACAAGCCGTTGTCCTGAAATCTTCTTTTTTTATTTTTAAATCATTTTTTAAAATCTTTTAAAAACAGTTTTATTAATTTCTTATCCTCCGCTGCTGCCCCAGCTCACTCGAAGTAAGTCAGCTAGCTACAAGTGGCTCCAGCTAGCTGCAGCTAGCTGCAGCTAGCTACAGCTAGCTACAGCTAGCTACAAGTGGCTCCAGCTAGCTGCGGCCAGCTACTGCTAACTACAGCGAGCTGCAGCTAGCTGCAGGTAACTACAGCTAGCTGCAAGCAGCAACAGCTAGCCACAGCTAGCCCTTAGCTAGCCGCATCTAGCTGTAGCAAGCTACAGCTGGCTACACCTAGAAACAGCTAGCTGCAGCTACCTGTAGCTAGCTGTAGCTAGCTGTAGCTAGCTGCAGCTACCTGTAGCTAGCTGTAGCTAGCTTTAGCTAGCTGCAGCTACCTGTAGCTAGCTGTAGCTAGCTGTAGCTAGCTGCAGCTACCTGTAGCTAGCTGTAGCTAGCTGTAGCTAGCTGCAGCTACCTGTAGCTAGCTGTAGCTAGCTGCAGCTAGCTGCTGCTCGGTAGAGGCAGCTACAGCTAGCTGCGACCTGCAGCTCCTCATAGCTACACATAGCAAGAGCGAGAGGTCTCTTGCAGCAGCAGCAGCGACAGCGGCAGCAGCAGCAGCCGCAGCAGCAGCAGCAGCAGCAGCAGCCGCCGCAGCAGCAGCAGCAGCAGCGTTAGTGGCAACAACAGCAGCAGCAGC